GTTATATGCAGATGACACAACCTTGCTTGCTGAAAGTGAGGATGACTTGAAGCACTTACTGATGAAGATTGAAGACTACAGTCTGCAGTATGGATCACATCTCAACATGAAGAAAACAAACATCCTCACAACTGGGCCAATGAGCAGCATCATGCTAAATGGAGAAAAGATTGAAGTTGTCAAGGATTTCCTATTATTTGGTTCCACAATCAACACCAATGGAAGCAGCAATCAATAAATCAGATGATGTATCACACTAGGAAAATCTGCTGCAAAAGACCTCTTTCAAGTGCTGAAGAGTCAAGATTTTCTCTTTGAAGACTATGGTATGCCTAGCCCAAGATGCTATTTTCAATCACCTCTTATGGATGTTAGATCTGGGCAATGAATAAAGAAGACCGAAGAAGGGTTGATGCTTTTGAATTGTGGTATTGGCAAAGAATACTGAAAGTACTATGGACTACCAAAAGAACAAACAAATCTGTCCTGGAAGAAGGGCAGCCAGAATGCTTCTTGGAAGCAAAAGTGGCCTGACTTCGTCTCCCCTACTTTAGTCATGTTGTCAGAAGGGACCATTCCCTGGAGAAGGATACCATGCTTGGAAAAGTGGAGGGTTAGCAAAAAAGAAGGCCCTCAACAAGAAGGATTGACACAGTGGCTGCAACAACGGGCTCAGGTATAGCAAGGATTATGGGGCTGGCACAGGACTGAGCAGTGTTTTGTTCTGTTGTACACAGGGTCACTGAGTTGGAGCTGACTCGATGGCACCTAACAACAACAGTTCATTTCAGCTTACTAATGCCTACGATATTGATCTTTATGTATCCCACTTCATTTTTGATGCCTTCAGATTTTCCTAAATTCATACTTTGTACATTCCATGTTCCTATTGTTAATGGATGTTTCTCATTTTGAGCCACGCCACATCAGCAAATGTAGGTCTCAAAAGCTTTATTGTATTCTTGTCATTAAGGTCAACTCTACTTTGAGGAGGCAGCTCTTCTCCAGTTTTGAGTGCCTCCCAACCTGAGTGGTTCATCATCTGGCACTATAGTAGACAATGGTCCACTGTTGTTCATAAGGTTTTCACTGGCTTATTTTCTTTAGGTCTGGAAGCTCTGCTGAAAGCTGTCAAGCATGGGTGACCCTGCTGGTGTTTGAAATATTGGTGGCTTAGCTTCCAGCCTCACAGCCAGCACACAAGTGACCATAGTACAGCAAAGTGACAGAGGAGTGGTACATATTTATAATATCTGGTTTAAAGTCTTTATCTAGTAGATCCAACATTTAGACTTCATCAGGGATGGTTTTTATTGACTCTTTCCCTTTTCCTTTCCTGTGTGAAAGTTTCCTAATGGGTAAGAATGAACAATGGTTTTCAGCAAGGGTAAGTGGGTCTCCTTTTAGACATGAAGAGTCATGCGGAGAGCCCTCCTAAACCTTGTCCTTTGCATATATCTTAGCTTTTTAGTTTAAATCTTATCCTTTGTTTGTAACTTCTCTGTTATGGAAGGTGTTATTGCAGTTATGTTGTTTCCATGAGTTCTCTGTAACCATTGCAATAAATTATCACACCCAACAGAGGAAGAAAGCCATGAATGGCTGGTGTCAAATGGTGGAGAAGTTGAAGAAGGGGATATATTTGACCTCTGGCTCATAGGAACCAGCTTGGTATTGATTCTTATGATCAGGGTTGTCCTTTCAGTTGGCGTCCAAGAATGTTCTCCTATTCCCAGTAAATAATAATAACTGACTAACTGAATAAATATAACTGACTAACTGAATTAGTGAATGATATGTAATGTCTGCTAGATTTTGTTTTAAAGCTGAACCTCTTCATACTTTTTTTTGCTGTTGTGCTGTTGCTGTTATGTGCCACTGAGTCGGACCCGACTCATAGCGACCCCTCCTTAGGTTTCTGAGGCAGTATCACTATGGAAGTAGATTGCCCAATCTTTCTTCTGAGGAGTTGCTAGTGGGTTTGAACCACCAGCCTTCTGATTAGCAGTCAAGTGCCTTAGGCACTACGCTACCAGAGCTCCTTTTTTAGAGTCTTGAAATTTATTCAGTTTGCATGTGTGTTAGTAACAATGCTCAAAATGGTCATTGGTCATTGGAACACAAAATTCATTCTTCCATATTAATATACAGCATGATGTCATTTTAAAAGTAACAACAGAAGATCTGTGTTCCCTCCACTTGCAGACCGGGTCACTAATTCTAGTCTTTGTAGACAATAGATACCAGGATCCAGGATCTTCTGCTCACACCACAGACCCTGAATCCTATTTCTACCTGTTTCCTTCTATTTCCAGAAGTCTGATTCACAAATTCAGAAATAAACCATATGATATGTGAACGGGTTTGTATGGGCAAAGTCACTAAAAGAAGAATTTATATATTACACATTCAATGTCTTTAACTATTAAAGCTTCCTTCTTACTGATTTTTAGCTATATTTATATAACATAGCCAACTGGTTAGATAAAAAAACATCATATTTGCATAAGGTCAAATAAACAACTTGCCTCTCACCAAGAGGCACTGGGTAAGCGTGGTACTAACAATGTGTGAAACTGTTTCAAACAATCGCTCCAACATCACAGACCATCACTTTTCTAAGGGGGATCTCTCACAGCTTTGTCACATCCACTTCCCCCTTTGCTCCAAACCCTCCATCCCCTCTGGCCCTTATGTGTAAAGTATTGTAGCCTACCTCAGTCACCTCAGAGGAAAACACAAGGCTGATGGCCAGCTTTCTTAATTCACAATTTCTCATTTCACATTATTCATTCCTACATCAGTCACTGCTACATCACAGAGTCCCCAGGTCACTTTGTTCACAGTTCATCACTTCATAACCATGTTCACACTGAGACATGTGGCAGTGGCCACAACAGCCTCCCACTATGCAGCTTCTGGTTCCCAAGGTGAAGAAACAGAACATTCACTCTCTAATGCACGTCTCAAGAATAATGGTTATAGAAAATACAGCTTTTTCCTCCCCCCCCCTTATTTCTCAGAACTATATTTAGGCCATATTTACTTCTTTTATTCATTAAAATATCTCAGTGGTAACAAAGACCTACATACTCTTATTCATTAAAAATTTCCAGTCTTGCAAAAATCCCCTCAGTTTAGACATGCAAAGACAATCTGATGTCAAATATTAAATCTTTTGAACAACTACCATCTGTCTTCTACCTGTAAATCAGTACCCAACACCTGTCCCACACTTGCTTGGGGTTTAACTTCATTCTTTCCTCTGAAGTCTCTGTCATCCTTCATCATTCCTCAGTTTTACTGGAAGGGTCTCATTCAGTGGGTTAAAAAGAGTCAGTTACCTTAATAACTACACTAAAAAGACTGGGGATAGAGGATGGCAACACAGATTACAAAACAGCACAAGCAGGTACGGCGTGGGTTCAATGTGATCTCGCTGGGGGACAACTACAGCAGGGTCAAGATGTAGATCCCAGCACTTTTGGAAAAGAAGTGTAAACATAAGAGTTGCTCAGTGGCAGACCAAAACCAAAAGGGGTCAGTGAGGGAATGGAATATGAGGAAACCTTCAAGGGGCAGTGTAGACGATAGCTCTGTGGTCAGCAATCTGACAAGATGTATTCATTTGTTTTTTTTCAATTCTCACTATACATCAAGGGTATAGGAGCCCAGCCCTGTGGCACGTCCTGGACTGCGGCACTATGGTGTTTAGTGAGAAAGGGCAGCTAACGGATGGCATGGTTCTTTCCCACACACTCATACACGTGCACATTCACACGCACACACTCACGCCTGTGCACACATTCACATATGAGGCTAAATAAAGCACACAATATTATTCTCCAAATCAAGGTTTCAAACTTCAAAGAACAAAATGAAATATTCACAAATATTTAAGATTAGTTTTCAACTGTTTTGCATCTTTTATATAGTATTTCCCTCTACATTAATAATTAACCCAAACCAAACCCAATGCCATCAAGCAGATTCCAACTCATAGCAATCTCCATAGGATTTCCAAGGCTGTAAATTTACGGAAGCAGATGGTCTCATCTTTCTTCTGCAGAGCAGCTAGTGGTTTTGGACCAGCGACCTTTTGGTTAGTGGCCCAATGCCTCAAACACAGTGCCACCAGAGCGCATACATTAAGATGACTGTCATTCTAAACAATGATTTGCAATTGATACACTTTTCATCTTGCCTCCTAATTAAGAACGTTTCTTTAAATGTTGTGGCTCTCCTCCTGCATCAAATTCCTTGCATGGGAATTTTCAGATGCTGATTTTGGGCATTTTCTTCCTCCGATTTAACCTACTGCAGTATATAAGCACATGTGCTGTGAACATTCTCCACTTTTCTCCATCTCAGTCCCATGCTTTCTATATTCCTGTTGCTCAACTGTGCAAAGGTGCTAAGAGGCAAGCACTTCAATCACAGAAGAAAATCCACCAGATTGCTCCGTTTCCTGAATAAATGTTTATCTCCTAAGTTTTTTTCCCCGGACTCAATGAAAACTGATATGCATCTTAACGTAAACTTCTACCAAAATAAACTCTAACAGACACAAGTACTATGATGCAAGACTTGTGTGGACTGGGCATGCCCCTGTACACAGGAAAATCATACCTGGAGAGCTGAGGGGCTGAAGGCCACCCGGGTCACCGTGTCCGTGTGTCCTCCCAGCCTGCGGGAAAAAGTACTGGACCCCATTTCATACACATAGGCCTGGGGGAAAAAGGAAAAAAAAAAAAAAGAAGGAAAGAACACTTACTCCGTGTTAGAAGAGTCAATAGTCAACTGCAAATTATGTGCAATAGGATCCTATGCTATGGCCAATCAAGTGTCATAGCAAAAACTGACCTCATCAGCAAAGTGCCAGCCAAATTGCAGAACTGAATTATGAAATATGTGCCATCTCTCTTCCCTTTTAGAGTTTTAAGATGCTAATGAATTGGTGCCATGCTTTCCATTTCCCGTCCAAAGTCTCCTCCGTGCCCTAGGAACAGTTTCAAACACGTTCTCGATAATGATTTTAAGGAGAGTGTACAGATTTGGATTCCACCCTTAACTTCAAGTCCCAAGTTGAGTGAAAAAGGTGACATTATATTGTCTTTTCCCATAAACTTGAAATAGGACTGGATGTGCTTTCCTTCCCACTAATTGATTTAGAATTTGAGTAATTCAAAGACTTAGAATTATTCCACATCTATTGATAGACAAGCTTGAAACGAGGCCTGAACACTTGCATCCCTACCAAGATTCCAGGTGTTGCTGATGGTGCCAGTAAGGGGACACACCTGGAGAATCACAGAGCTAGCGTCACCATAACATCTGCAAGTATTTCACTCCTGGAAAAACACTTTACAACTTCTACATAATATCATTTACAGCAACTGGCTGAGGTGTGCTCATCTGCACTGATTAATATTCCTGATTTTTCATTGAAGAAACCCGGGCATGTAGAGAGTATGTTACTAATCCTGGAAAATCAAATGCCACCTCTCAAATCAATGTGTCCTGTGCCACTTCCATCCTGATGAGCTGTGCATGCAGCACTTCTTCCTGTGAGCCTGAGCACCGACACCAGGTAAGAGCTCACAGAGTAAAGGGCACCATCCTCCAGACCACCAGGTCGGCCCAGATGCCGGACACCAGCCATGAGCTTGGGGTCCCCACAACACCCTCACTTCTGACCTGCTGGGCCCTGTGTGTCCAGTAATTCAGTAGAATGAGTCCTAGGACTCACAGAAAGTACTGTACTTATCATCACAGTTTTATTATAGCAAAAAGGATTCAAATGAAGAGACATACAAAATCGTATCAGGGAAGTTCCCAACAGAGAGCTTTCAGGTCCCAAAAAAGGACATGCTCCCCTCCCAAGTGCATCAGTGTCTTTCATTAACCAACAAATGCATGGAGCTTCCATGTCCAGAGCCTTTCCTGGGGCCTTACCACATAACATGATGGACTGAAGTCAACCTTCAGACTTCTGCCCTGACAGCAGGTTGAGATCATGAGGAGGGTCTGTGCAGCTCCCTACCCAAGAGCCACTTCTCCAGCATAACCTGTTAGGTGTGGTCTAGAGTCCTCATCCAAGGCACTCATATAATTGGGGAAATTCCAAGATTTTAGAGATTATCTCTCAGAGATATCAAGGGCAAGGACCAAATTCTTTGGGTAAAGGTAACCCTTCCCTCTTGGTTTTCTAACCCATTCATTAGACAGTACATCATAATCCTCGGCTTGCTTTACTGAAGATTTAATCTCATTAATTTGTTAGCCTCAGTTTATCATTTGTCATTCTAACTGTAGCTTGGTGTGGCATGTCCATGCCAAATACTTGGTGTTCACTTGTTAAATGGCACAACCACTTTGCAAACTCATTGGCGCTTCCAGTAAAGTTAAATACATACCATTATGACCCAAAAACCTCACTCCTTAATACTGACCAAAGAGAAATGAAAACACACGTCCGCAAAAAGACTTGTATGGAAGGATTCCCAGCACCTTTATTCACAAACGTTATACAACTACTCTGTGACCCACACATTAATTGTTCAGAAGTATTCCCAGGACCTTTATTCACGACCGTTACACAGACAGCTACTCTGTGACCTGCACATTAAATGTTGAGTTGCTGCCACCAACTCAACCCCAACTCATGACATCCCCACAGGTGTGGAGAACTGCTCGATAGGGTTTTCAAGACTGGCCTTTCAGAAGCAGACTTTTGGGTCTGTTTTACAAGGCACCTCTGGGTGGGCTCAAACCACCAATCTGTCAGTTAGCAGCCAAGTGTTAACCATTTGTGCCACCCAGACTCTATATGGAAATCACATGAGAAATATATTGTAAAGTACCATAAAGACATCCACACACATCCACACAATGCATCCTTCCAGATTTCAAGTTATTGAGGGCAAGGAGACACAGGTTTCTATCTAATCACCTGTGGACACCTCCACAATGCAGCTTCAGAAAAAGAGAACAAACTCACTGCCATCAAGTCGAATCCAACTCAGAGCAACCCTCTTAGGTTTCCAAGGCTATATATCTTTATGGAAGCAGGCTTCTGTGGAGTGGCTAGTGGGTTCAAACCATTGACCTTTTGGTTGTCAGCCAACTGCCTTAACCACTACAGCACGAGAGCTCCTTATAATACAGCTTTGAGGCATCAAAAATCACCAGACCTTCCTTACTAAAAGGAAAATAGTGCCATTTCCTGAAAAACAGCCATCCCAGGAAAAAACCTCACTCCATCATGTATCTACTGAGTTCAAGGTGCCAATAAGACCTACACATCGTGTCTAGCAGTTGTATATATATTCAGGAAATGGGAAAGAGGCCAGGATTAGAAGTAACTTGGCACCTATCTGATTTATGATCTAAGGGTAAAGCTGAAACCTGAGAGTGGATTGAATTTACAAGAGAAAATAGGGAGAAGGAAGAAGGAAATTCAAAGGAGGAGGAAACAAAAGTATACAGAGAACCATGAAGAAGACAAGCCACAAGGAGAAAGGATTTCAAGAACAAGAAATGGCCAGGGTGAAACATAACAGGGAGATCAAAGATAATTAGATAAAGGCTACCAAAGAGGCCAGTAGCAGACTGTTGCTGTTGGGTGCTACTGAATACAGACGGTTAAGTCCGGTAAGACAATAGACAGTACCACTTAAAGACCCCTCCACTGAAGTTGTTGCTCTTCTTCTGATCCTAGTAGCAATGGCCATGTAGAGACAAACAACCAACCACCAGCCACCAGAGACCAAACTCTTAGAAGGCCAGGGAGCTAGGGCTGAAGGGCTATGAGTAGACGGGGACAGCTCAGCCTCTGCCACCCAGTGTCTCCCTACTCCACACTCCTCCTCCAATTTAATGCTGTATTCTATGAGTCCCACAGAAAGAGCCACAACCAAACACTCAATGAGCCTTGCTGTGGTTGTGTGCCATCGAGTTGATTTCAAGTCATGGTGACCCACGTGACAGAGGAAAACCATCTCACAGGGGTTTCCTGGCTATGATCTTTATGGAAGGAGAGCACCAGGTCCCCCTCCCGTGGAGATGCTGAGCGGGTTCTAACTGCCAGCCTTTAGGTTAGCAACACAGTGCTCAACCACTGGGCCACGGGGATGCCTTAGTACTGGCTTAGGCTGGAACAGGACACCATACCTGGCAACGGAGGGGGTCAGACAAAATTAAGGGGACCCCACCACAAGCTGGACAATGGGCTCAATCATATTAACAATTGTGAGAATGGCGCAGGACCTAGCAACGTTTCGTTCTGTTGTACACAGGGGTCACCTCCAAAAGTCAGAGCTGACTCAATAGCAGCTAACCACAATCAGGAGGGGAGGTAATGAGGTGGCCACTGGTAACTTTTTGGAAAGAATTTTCAATGTAAGAGTTGTGCCACAATTCCAATTACAAAAGTAAATTAAGTTGTTGGCTTCAGTTAGTATTTCTACCCTCCAGAACACATATCTGTAGGCTAACAGGAAAAGGACTGAGAATGAAGAAGCAAGCGGGAAAAAGTTTTCAGACGAACCAGGGCTTGGAGAAGTCCAAAGCGGAAGGGATGGAAGGGATGGATGGCACATACACAAGTGTTAGCCCTTTGTCCCTCCTGTAACAGCTGGGGAACAGAATGCGCACGTTGAGGCTGAGCGGTGGGAAGAGATGAACAGCTATAAACTAAGACACAGCTTCTGAAGGTCATTTTTCTAAATCAGCTCCTAATATACAATTATCTTTTGCTGAAAAGTCATTTCTGATCCTCTCTCTTATTTGTCCTAATTCTAAGTGGGAATCAACACATAATTTTATTTGCATGTAATGTCAAAATACACATAACAGGGCACCATAATTATGAAAGAAGGCTAAAAACAAAAAACAAAATATTTATTTAAGAAACAGGTTTTCTTTTCAATATGAAAATGGCACTAAACAAAACACATCTTTTGTCCCAGAAGCACCATGAGGTAACAAACGTTTCTGACAATGATGATGCTTTAAACATGAAAACAAATCTGCAGCTCAAATATTAGGAATGTTTGTATACATGTTGTCGTTGTTGTCAGGTGCCGTCAAGTTGTCTCCGACTCATAGCGACCTGTGTACAGCAGAACGAAACACTGCCCGATCCCGCACCAGCTTCAAGATCCCTGCTATACTTGACCCCATCGCCACAGCCACTGTGCCATTCCATCTCACTGAAGACCTTTTGATACATAAACACATTTAAATAGCTGCACTTCTACACAGTGGCGGTGACAAGCCCAAAGGACAAGACATTATACCCTGGAATAGTAAAGAAAAATTTTGCAAGGGATTCCATTTAATTTCAATTTTCAATGTGGAAAACCAAGTGTTTTAACAAGAGGAAATAATAGTCATTCGATCTATGGAGCACCTACTGGTGAAAGGAAAAAATGCTGTTGTCTAAAATATCTCAGGACACAAATAAAACTCAAAGCAAGAACTGCACAAAGTAAACCTTACTCCAAAACTAACTTGGTAAAGCCTGAGAAACAGGGAGACTAAAGGAAGTGATATTTTTCAGCAAATGATGGGGCTAGAATCATGCTTTCCTGCTGAAAGTGCTTCACAGAGGCATAAGCAAACTGAGCACATTTCTGAAGAGAGACCTACTGTGCCAGTGGGAGACTGGGTCAGTGCGACTGTTTCCAGTTCTCTCGCATGGAGTCTCTAAAGATGAAGTTCCTTTC